GCCAACTGGTGCAGCGTCAGCAGTAATTTGGACTTTGTACTGGACTGTTGAGGTAAAGAAGGACCTGAGCCAGAAGACAAAGCTCCTGATTTACCATCTGATCTATGTTCCAACTCTCACTTGTAGTCCTGATCTCTTGGTGGTCCATCCATCCATTATCTATACACCGCTTAATCCTCACTAGGGTCGTGGGGGGCTGGAGTCTATCCCAGCTGACTTAGGGTGAAGGCAGGGGACACCCTGGACAGGTCACCAGTCTATCACAGGGCTACACTTAGAGACAGACAACCAAGCACACTCACATTCACCCCTACAGACAATTTAGAATCACCAATTAACCTCAACATGTTCTTGGACTGTGGGAGGAAGCGCTGCACAGTGAAAACATGCAAACTCCATGCAGAAAGATCCTGGGTGTCCTCACCAGGATGCAAACCGGTGCTAACCACTGCTCCACCTTGCAGCCCCTCTCTTGGTAGTGACCGATGATAACATTCAACTTTAAGCACTAAACACAAGCACAGTTGTGGCTGATGGCAATGTCATTAGTTTGTTTTTTTTTAAGTATTTGGTCACAAATCAGTGTAAAGTTAAATTTTGACCAGATGATAATGCTGCATGAAAAGTAGAGGGCTCACTTAAGTTTTTAAAGTTCATCTTTAGGGAGACATTTAAATAGGGTGACATCCAATAGTCATCACAAATTGTTGCTCAAAAACATAATTTTTAATCTCACGGCGTGAAGAAGAGCTGAAGGATAACTAAAGTCTTAACAGTGTATTATATGAGAATTGTCAATGCAAAATATAACGCCGATCCATGCTGCAGAGGTTCAGGTAGATTACTGGATAAGTGAAAAATGTAAACTGTTGTTGGCAACAAGGAAAAGTCAGAGGATCCCCAAAATGAGAGGAATTCATCCTCTGGGGACCATAAATGTCTATCCAGTATATCATGGCAATCCAGTGAGTAGCTGCTGAGATATTTAGTTCAGACCTCAGCAGTGGAGCCACTGGCTGTGGTTAAAAATGTGCTTTATTCGAGCCTGTGTATAAATTTGCTGTTGACTCTCTCATTAATTAGGAAAGCGGAGGCATTATACTGTAGTGTAATGAGACTGTGCTGGGTAAAAATCTCATATGGAAAGCAAATGAAAATGCCAAGAGATGAAGGGGTTTGTAATTAATTAATTCAGGATTTTTTTTCTCTCCACGGGAGCCTTTAAAAAGGGGCCGTACCATAACTGTAATGGACAAAGTGATGGCTGGAGAGGACAGAGTGCAGTCCTCAGTGGCTCATTATAGTTAGAGAGGAAGCACAGAAGTAGTAGTGCAACATGAGAGAGGATGTGTCTGAATTTCTAATATTAGAAGCCGGCCTCGCTAAAGTCGGTACTAAATGAGAAATATTCCATGTAAGTCTGCAGCATGTAGTATTCTAGTAGAACGGCCTGGCTCATGGAGTCGACTTCCTTCATTCATAAGAATGAGCATGACTCCCCCTCCCTCCGCTCTGCCGTCACCATCCCATCCCCCCACCTCCTAACCTCTACATCCAGGCTACAATCCTACTCCAACTTCTGCAGAGCTCCCACCAGCCATCAGCAAACATAAGCATCAAAACATCAGCACAGACAGTGTCAGCGTATGTTTGCCCGAGGATCGCAAGACAGACGGAGGGCTGCAGTCTGGATTTCCTGCTCTACTGAACTCTGCGCCGGCATAACAAATGGAAGCAAACCAATTGAATTTTCTTTTAAAATTGACAAAAAAAAAAAGGTTGAACAAAACCCATATGGTTTTTACTGGAGTGTGATTTATAGTCAGCGCCAGTCTACCATTGTCCAGGTATTTGCAGCCAAACATCATCAGCGTCAACACAAGTGTGTTCACAGCCAGAGTGCTAAGTAGGCCACAGCATGGTATGTGACCCACGAGATGGCTCGATGGCCCCTTTTTGTTTCTCAACCATCTGATACTCTGCCCGCTGAGGTGGAAACTTACCCCTCTCAAACAGACGAATAGGAACTGAAGCCTTGGGTATCAGTAACAGGGTGACGTTAGACGTTTTATGTTTTCTTAAAGAGACGCATAAAAAAAAGAAAGAAAGAAAGAAAGAAAATTCCAGCCCTGAGTCACTTTGACAATAAAATCATCTGAGATGAACTGCCGCTTTCTCCAACAACGCCGCGTGTTCCTGTTGTGAAATAAAAGACTAGATAATTGCTTGACAAACGTGTTTTGTAGACCATGCAGTTATCGCACTTCGCTGCCGCGGGGGAAGAGATTAACATCAGCAGGATGCGAACCGAGTTGACGTATGTCTTCTGTATCTCATGTGTCAGTTGGACAAAAAAAAAAGATGAGATTTTTTTGGGATGTAATTTGGGGGAACAAAGAGTAGCTACTGTGGAAGTTATGCAACCCGTTCTACCAAACAACTGAAGGAGACTTCGTTAACTGAATACCTACATTATATAATGAACTCCTTTTGGTTTCAGACACTTAGAACAGAGAAAGAGAAGAACATTTATGACACTGAACTAGATTTTTTAAAAATTTTAAATAGCTACTTTCAACGCCAAATGTGAGCCAATGACTGAAGAAAATGTACTCCTTTGACACCTCTGGGCGAAAATAATATCAGACCCACTGAGATTTTTATCTCAAGTGCTGACTTGAGGTAGAGGATATAATGTGTGTTAAATTGAGCATGAATGAGTCTTTCTGGTAGCGGGAGCCTTTTGTTACTCTCGTCTCAGCTCCAGCTTGTTTCAGCCCAACCTGCCTTGTGGGAAAAAAAAGAAGAAGAAGGTATTTCTAGCTCACCGTTACTACCACTCAACTACGATACAAAGGCCAAGTCCTTACGAAGGCCAACTTACTGGAAGCGTGAGAGTTTGTATGCATTAATCCTGCCATGCAACATTTGTTCAAACATACAGCAGAAAATCCTGCTATTGTATTGCCACTGACAACGCTGCTGTTTTGCGATGTCTGCGTGTGCATCAAACTGACAGAGAGTGGAAACAAGACGACGATCCGCGCTGAGAAAAAGACATACTAGACCAAAGCTGTTGTATAATTTGACATGTTTCATGTCAGAAAATTCAAAGCACCAGTGTGAGCTTAGAGCAGTGTTAAACGCTACTACGGGATACTAAAACTCCATAAAAACTTAATGTGTGCTGACAAAACTCTGAGGTTGATATCACCGTAGAGAGCCTTCGAGCTTCGCTGCAGGCTTTTTTTTTTTTTTTTTTTTTTTTTTTGGTGGTGGTACAGATTAGGAGCTCTGAAGCAGGCTGAATAATATCCCTTCCTCACCTGCTCTACTTCATATCAGGTGTAGGCATCAGCGGCTGGATGAAAATCAATTTTCAAGGCCAGTATTGGCAAAGTGATTGTTCCAACGCACGGAAAAGATAAAGCCAAACGCAGATATGGCACAGAGGCTTGAAGAGTGAAGAATTAAAAGATTCCCCAAGATTCTTGTCTCTTAAACAAAATTAAAACAAAGCTGAAACAAATTAGGCGTTAATGCCTTCACCTAACTCGTGGTACACAAAAAATAATTTGGTTTAAATGAGAGCAATTAAACTGGATTTCACTGCGAGAATCTAGCGAGTCTTAAGTATTAAATACAACCCATGATACCGGTAGAAAGATCAGCAGTCATGCACAGGGGAAGCCGCCTCGCTTTAGGTACGTGGTTTACCCGTGCTGCCTTGGGAAAACAGCCATGAGGACGCATCCGTACTGCACTGCGCTGCACACTCGCTGTCAGGAAAGCTCAGCAGCTTTCAGCTCCATTCATACACATTAAACAGGTCCTCTGTGCCTGCCGCTGTATGTTTCCTTCCATCACCGCTTTCCACTTTTCTCTACTCACTCATCTGGGCAGAATAAAGCTGGTTCTTCTATTCTATCCCAAGACATTTACTCCACCCCATGTTTCTGCCTTTAAATTCCAACGAAAAGGCCAAAACCAACAAAGCATTAGCGAGTCCTTTCCTCTTACCTATCCGGTCCATGTCATCATTCTTAATCCCGTTTATTCCCATTTTAAAAAGGGCCCCGCTAATTTCCTAAATAAGCCGGCTGTTGCAGTTTTGAGAAAAAAGTTACACAAACAGAAGCAAACAGTAGATTAGTTAGGGACTATTTTCAGCGGCGGATTAATTTGTTAAACTGGGCATTTAGGGCAGCAGGACAGTGTACCTGTGACTGACTTAAAAATAACCGCCGCGCCCATGTTTGTCATAATGAATGACATCTGTAAGCTGCTTGCTTTATGTTCCCACATTCAGTTTTGAGAATTTGAATCTATCTTTCTGTCGCATTTAAAGCATAATGAGCACATATCAAGAGCAAATTGACAACCGGCGTCTAATTTTAACTACACTTTCGCATAATCTGTTCAAATAGCTTAGACTATAGTGTCTAAATTTAGATCTGTGTGATGAGAAAGTTAATCCTCTAAATCCGGAAAGCATGAATGGAATTCAAACAGCAGCTCTTTTCATTCAAAGACAAGAAAACATATTCTTGTCTCTCCTGTGTACCTGTTTGCTTTCTTTACATTGTCTTAGAAAGCAGCAGCGGTTCTCACACATCATCAACGCACGACTGTAGGAAAGAACTACAATGGTTTCCGCAAAATACTGTAAAGGTTGTCAGGAGGTCACAGTGGAAGAATAATTCTGTTGTAAAAATACAGAGCAGATTTGAGGCAGTTTGGCAGATTAGGGAAACAGTGAATAGAAATTAAATGCCACCACAATAAACTGGAAGATCCCTGACATTACTCAAAAGATCCCTCCAGTTTCATCCATGCATTCAACATGCAGTTGCCATGCCAACCTGTTACCGCAGACTGCTGCTGCTACGATGAAAAGGGGGAAATGCTTCTTGGCTACTGTGCAGTAATGAAGAGTCCCGTTCCGACATTAGTATTCCCATCAAGCCACACGACCGGGCAAGACGGCGACAGCAACTCACCGAGATGTCAAAAAGCTCCTCTGTGTCGTCCAACATTCGGACCCTGATGGTGACATGTCGTCCAGGGGGCATGGCCGGGGGTCTGTGCCCGGGGTCCAACGTACTGATGCCAAGAGTCTCCGGGGCTCCGAGGCGCTGCCCTGCTCCAGAGGACATTGGCTCTGGGTCTGGCTGTGCCATGGTGTGCTGCACTGCTCACTGCCCAGCCTGCAACAGGAAGCCAGGACAGAAAAGTCAGGGACAGAAAAGCGTGTTTTCGCACCCGTTCGCTTTCACAAGAGCACAAAAATGCGGCTTAAAAGTAAAAATTAACCCAGTAGTTAGGCATTCTGTTGCAAAGCATCAGCAATGTAGGTGCAATACAGTACGACGACTGCATCAGGGCCCCAGAGGACAGGCTGCACAACCTTGCGTGTCACACTAACAGAGTAATTGCAAATGCAGTATTTGCACTCGCCACTAATGGCTGATAATTGTTGCCTGTGGGAGCCCCAATTACTGTGAAAAGAAAAAAAAAAAGATCCAAGCATGTTCTTGATTTCAAAGCGCAAATCAGGCGGCCCTAATTTGATTTGACAAATGAATCACGAGGCTAGACGGTAAAATCAAAGAGTCACTACAATGACAATTGATTCGGGAAGTCGTTAAAGCAAGACATTAGGGCCACAGACGCACAGACACACGTATACATGGGATTTAATGGGTCTCAAGGGGAGCAAGTCAAACATGTGAAGACACTGCAGGAGATGTGGAGGTAATCAGAGAGCAAAGGGTACAGAACTGTATGTAAAGTATTCGATATAAAGATTTTTTCTGGCATTAATAAAGAAACACAACAAAGACTTGTACAAAAGTTGTTTTATCATTGTTTAATGCAGTTATTTCTAACCAGAGGTACTTCTGCAGTTTCCAGGAGGTGGATGAGTCCAGAGGAGCTGAACTAATTTTCAAATAAAAACTACAATTACAATTTTAACTGAAGAAAAAGATCTAACAGTACCTGTTCAGAAAGTGCAAAGACTAGTTGGGTAACAGTGACGGATAAAACATCTAAACGATGTAGAATATTGTTAGAATGTAGTTACTGGATAAATAGTTGGCTAGCTTAAATGCTATAAACAGTTGAAATTGCTAAAAGATAATGGGTAAATTGGAATTTAACTGATTGAAATAATTACCTAAATGTGCTAAATGGAAAAACTGTTAACAAACTTAGAAGTAATCGATAGAATGTTCAAATAGACAGCTGAAAGAAATGGGAAAAAATGGTGGCATTTTCTAAACGAGCCAAACATCATGTAGCCTCAAGCAGTGAATCAACTGTGGAAAAACCCCGAACCTTTGACCCCGACAGTAAAGGGCTCTATTGAGCTTTGTTATGCTGTGAGGGGTAATTTGCTGGCATGGTTTGGGTTCACAATACTAAGTAATTGTAAGTGATGAATCATTTTTAGTTGAGGGTGGTCTCTTCTAGGCTGACAGCGCCGTCATGCATAGAGTATGAGGGGTCACTGGAAGGAAAACGTTGCTTTGGGCTTATAAGTCACCGGATCTCAACTCAACTGTGGGAGTTTTGGACCAACATGTTCTCCACCACCATCATCCAAACACCGTGAGGGAATATGTTTTGGAAGAATGGTGTTCACGCCTGCAGTAGTAGTTCTTGGATAGAGAAAGACTTGGAGAATCAATACCGAGGTGCATCGAAACTGCTCTAGTGATTCACTTTATGTTGCTTTCTTTTCTTTTCACTTGCTTGTGGTTAGCATAAAGGTAAAGGACAAATTGTTTACCCATTATAAAATGGATGAATAGCTTAAATTAATGTGAAACAAACTAACTGAAAGTAATGACTAAATGGTGACATAATAGTAAACAGGTATAACAAAATATAATGGATAAACAGTTAAAACCTCTAACAGAAATGGATAAACGGTGAGAAAGTAGTTATAAATTAGTTGTGGATAAGTTATGAATAAATTATTTAGGTAGCTTGCGTGATAAATCGCAGCTAAAACTACTTGATAAATCACTGGAAATGTTGGGTAACGATGATTTGTCACTTTGGAGGCTATAGGTGCTGTGTACGGAGGAGATGAGTTAGCATTTTCTCACTGTCTTTATTTGTCAGGCTTTATTTTTTTTTTGCCTCTATAATTTAAAAGGGAGGAGACATGACAGCGGGGGAGAGCGAGGAGATGACATGCAGCAGAGAGCCCAACTGGAATCAAACTACACTACCGTGAGGACTAAAGGTGAGCTATTGCAGCACTCAAGCATTCTCTGACTATCTTTTTTAAACTCATCATCTGTGACTGCAGATTTTCTCCCTCTTCATTTGTTTCCTCTGTCACAGGATCCTTCACAGCATCCTGCAGCTTCAAGCGGGCTATCCGAACACTTTTGGTGCTGGTTAACTCTGCAAACGCTTACGAGCTGAGAAACATTAAAATAAGACTCTCCATTCATAAACACCATCTGAACACGTAATGATCCAGTTAACAAGTATATGATGACCTCCTTCTGCTCAGCAGTGATCCTCCCAGCACAGCTTTTGACTATTCGGCTTATGCACGGTGCAGCTAGGAAGTCTTTTAATTGTAAGGAAAATCCCGATGGATAATGGAAACTAAACAAACGGTGGTGTCAGTGAGTTCATCTGACAGATCTGCGTCCAGCTATGGAGGGTCACATCTGATGCTCAAAACTGAGGTGCAGAATGTGGAATAATCCGCTGTGTCACTCAGTCGGTGTTCCTCCCAGGTGGAGGGCCGTGTTTGGACAACGCTGTGGACTCATTTGTTCCGAGTTGACACACGAGCAGGCCACTATCCACACCCCGCCACCCCCGCAGCGTATCCACAGCCAGATTCCCCCAAGGCAACGCTGTCCCGCTTAATTCTCTCTTCATTGCACATTCCAGCAGGCTGATGTCATCCTGAGACCTCACCAAGTGGCTCGCCGGAGCACCGAGGCCAGTGGGCAGTTGTTCAGCCGCCGCAGAGGTGAATGACTGCTGCCAAGTTTAAGCTGAAAGCTGAATAAGGCATTTCGAAGGAGTGGATAATGTAATCCAGCAGAGTGCGTGGAGAAAATAGGCCAAGGACGGCGGATACACTAAATTCTGTCTGATGACAAGTCTGCTTGAAGCTGAAGGGAGGTATAGCACGTTTGCATTCGAACACTGCGGACTGTAGTTGCGGCTAACAGGGCTGCAACTAATGATTATCTCGTTACTGATTAATGATCAAGAATTGACTAATTAATCAGTCGATAAAAAAAGTCAGAAAATTGCGAAGCACATCCATCACAGTCTCCCAGAGCCCAAGCTGACAACTTTAAACTGCTTCTTTTTTCCGACTAGTAGTTAAAATACCAATTAAATCTCATTTAAAGCAACATAAAACCAGGAAAAGCAGCAATGTTTCCTACTCGGGGATTGGAAGGTTTGGTGTTTTTGATTGATGAATGGCTTCTAACAAAACGATCGATGACCAAATGGTTTTCTGCCAGTTGGCAAGGGAGTAGGTGGTTTGGATCTGGTTTCCCACCATTAAGATTTACTGTGCTCCGAGGCTAACTAAAGTAAAGGGCGATTTGTAATTAAACTAAACCAGGAAGTGTCTCATTTAGTTTTAATACTTGAAAGTCAATCTCTGAGTTTTAGTTCTCAACTTTCAGTTTAGATGAACTGTACTCGACCCCGACCAGTGAATTTTTATGGAGCATGTTGTATCGTTTGCACCTGTACACCATCACCACAGAGCAGTGGGTGCGAGATGCCGGGTGTTTTCCAGCTAAAGTGCAAACTAAACTCTCCCTTGGGTTGATGAAAACCAGACCCTGTGCAGTCACCGGGGGGCGTGAACGGAAAACATGCTTTTCAATTCAGGGCCCCACCGGTCGTTTATGACATCTGATCCCAGTCTCTCGCCTTGATTATTGGCGAGCGTCTCATGTCGAGTCTGTAAATTCACGGCTTGTGTGACCTGCACATGCATGCCACGTAACCGGACACTCTTCAAACAAAGCGGCAGCGAAACAAAGGCCAGTGAAAGAGTAGACAGTGATTATTTCGGCCTGACACGTACCCTCCCCTCCGCATCAGGTATCATGAATCAACCGGTCCTGAGCGTGTTCCTCTGAATAGAGCAACTCAGGCCCCAAACAAACAAAAAAAAAAAAAACACAGGCACCGGCTGTACAGATGGCACCTTGTTCCCAGGGCAGGACATAAAGCGAGGTGTACAATGCCAAAGGGGAGGGGAGGGGGGGCGTTTACGGACCCAAGGGTGTTTCTGAGGGTAAACCACCCCTGCCTTTGAACTTGTTTGCTTGAAATTCCCCACAAGTGTGCAATGTGGAGCTGCTCGGCTTATTGAGCGGCAGGGGTTTTTGGTAACAGTGGCTCCTCTGTGCTCAGGGGCCCCTCAGCGAGAGTCCACCATTGCACAGCTGGAATCCTTTAGTGACAGCTGAATGGCCAGAGGCTGTGGCACATAGAGCCAGCTGTCTACCTGAGAGAAGCTCCACGACCACAAAAAAAAAAGAGCTCAATTTCCTGTGTGTGCAACTGATACCTGGGTGTGGCTGGCATTTGCGTGATTCACTTTTAAGTTGCTATTGTATTAATAGCAATGTGTCAACTGAAACCAAACGGACACATGAGTGCAAGAAAAAAAAAAAATACATGCAGAAAAAAAAAAAAATCAGTCAGTGAGGTCTTTCCCTTCACCTCACACGGTCTGGCAGCATGTTCACACCTTAAATGTAATGTAGGTTAACAGAGCAGGCTGCTGTAATCCTCAGGACATTAGCAGCCTGTACAGTAGATGTGACATTAATGCACTGCTTGGACTCACCTGGTCGACACGCCGTGCACACTCAAGTGGCTGGGTATTGAATGGCCACTTTTCTCGCGACATTTGGATCATTTAAATGTCACACAAGATGCATGAGTCATTTCTTCTTCTTCTTCACAGCAACCAAACAGCTGAGGTGTACATCCATGCAATGCAAAAACCCCTCACGCTGCTGCTGCAGGACACACAGGCAAGGGACTGCATAGGAAGGATCTTTTTTTTTTAAATTTATGATTATTGTTATTATTATTTTTTATTTCCCTCCCTCGAAAATCCACAGGATCACAAAACAACACGGGAAAGATAACTCCCGAGACTTAACCCTAATCTCCTCAAACAAGTTGAATCACTTCCCCTGAAGAGCAACACACACACACACACATGTACACACACACATATGCACACACACACACAGAGGGAAAGAAGACTGCACGATTCTTACCCCTTCTCTCGAAATGCGGGCTTGTCCTCACGAAAGTACGTCCCAGCTGAAGGGAAAGATATTAACATCCACGTCCAGCCAGTAGTGGCAAAGAGAGAGGAAGAAAAAAGACTTTTAGATGCAGCCCGTAGCGAAGAAGAGGAGAAGGAGGCGGAGGAGGCTTCCTGCGGTCGCCATTGCGGACGACTGAGTGAGTGAGCCGGGGAGGATTACAGCGAACCGAGCGGCGGATCCACTCCCGGTGCTTTGACTCAGACAATGAAGGAGGTGCAGCACCTCCACCTTCTCAGCTGCGCGGACACCGAGGAGCGACAGCACCACCTAGCGGCGGCGGCAGGGACTGTACGCAGGGCATGACATGAAGATAAAATAAGACAGGATTAGTTAAGTCAAGATATTATAAGTCTGAATTAATTCTACAGCTCGGAAATTTGCAGTGTTGCAGCAGAAAAGTGGAAAGTGCAAATATGTAAGAAATGTCAGTAAATTGTACTTTTTTTTTTCCGTTGAACCTTTTTGTACTTGTAATACTTTATATTATTGTAAATATCAGCATTTTGGGCAAGTTATTGTAAATACCAGTATTTTTTTCCACCTTATTTCTATCTATCTATCTATTCAAAATAAATAAATATATGAAGGGTATGAAAACACACCACATGAAAAGGTTGGGAAAAAAAATAATCGCAATTATTGTTCTGCTGTAAATCCATGTGAATCAGTAAATAAGACATGTTACAAGTTTCATATTTCAATAAACCTTGAGGAACTGAGCACCAAATAAACAAAGCGACACATCTTTGACCTCCTTTACAGCCCACAAAGGTCCATTACTTGACTAAATTAGGCACATTATTTGCAACATATATACTGTATACATGATGATTTTTGTACATTTTTGTGTTTGTCTAATTTTCCAAGTCATCCATTGACCTCACTGGGGATTCTATTCTGAATCCTGGCATCCAATTACATGAACGTTTTTGCAATTTCTATTTTTTGTAATGTGTAAATATTTATTTATTCTTTTAGCATCTAATTTCTTAAGTCATGGGGGATTCTGACTGCTATGCTGGGAGTCACTAAACTTAGCATCCAATCACTTAAACTTTATTTCAATTTATATGCGTTTTCAGGTTGAGATAGTTCAATACTTTGGTTCTTGTTTGCTAAAGATGATATTTACACAACATCATACTGGATTATAATGACAGACCCACAAGTTATGTTTCATTATGCTGCATTATGTTTGATCACACGATCTATTTCAAACTGTCTGACAGTGTCATCGGTAGGAAGAAATAAACAAAAACTACACATAGGTACTGGTTCTTTCACATGTGGATATTCAGCTATTGCACAAACACATAAGCAGTTTTTAAATATACAAAATACTCATAATGCACAGGTTGTATGTGTTGACGTTGCACCCGAGGGAGATGTGTCGGCTTCTCCAATTGAGGAAGCAACTTGTAATTTCACATCACAAGTAAACAGAGTGAAAGATCAAATCAAGTTTATTTATATACAGCATGCTTTAGAAAAATGATATGAGCAAAGAGTTTCACATACTATCAGTTAAGCAGCAACAGTAATATGTGCACAAAGCAAGACACAATGAAGAGCCCTTAAAACAATTTGCAAAACAAAAAGTATAGATAAGGTGACAGCCCTGACAAAATTATATAGAAAGAGCCAACCAATTCAAAGATTCCCTTTGAGCAAGCTCTTTGGCGTCAGCGAGAAGGAAAACTCCCCTTTAACAGGAAGAACCAGGCTCAGGGAGGGTGGCCATCTGCCTTGATCGGTCGGGGTTTTGGTAAAGAGGAGAGAGAGAACAGGATAGTAGATAGAAATCAGACAAACAGCACATAAAAGAACTATAAACACTGGGGAGGTTGGTGGGGCCAATGACTGCAGATCAGAAATGTGCAGCTCCAGATCCAGAGACGCCTGCAGAGAGGACAAAACATACACTACAGGAGAGAGAAGACACAAACTTAGTGACATGCAATAGAGGCATATAAATGTGTGGAGAGAGAAAGAGAGGAGAGTCAAGGAGAGGGGCTCGGTGCATCATGGGACATGGAACAACATAAGGCTTAAGCTATGCCAAGACTCAACACAGCATGGTGCAAAGGAAAAAACGGTGCAGTTAAAGATCGACTAAAGATAGCGACAAATCAATATAGGAAAAAAATAAATAAATGAAACCGTAAGCTGCAAGGGTGTAAAAACATATTAAAGAAGCAAAAAAAAAAAAAAATAGGAGAGACAAGAAGAGAGAATGATAGTGACAGTAATTATTACTCTGCTGTAAATAAATGTGACTCTCTAAATAAGAGATGCAGAAGAGAAAAGAATCCAACCATTAATAGAACCTAACAGCCTGCTAATATCAATAACTGAGAGCCGTAAAAACCAAGCAACACATATTTGACCTCCTCAGAATCCAGAAGTGTTTAAAAAAAAAATAGACAAATTTTTTACAACCTATATTCAGTATATGTGATGATTTCTGATTTTCTTAAGTCGCTCTTTGACCTCATTGGGGATTCTGACTCCTATGTTGAAAGCCACTAAACTTGGACTCCGATTACATCAAAGCTTTTGCAATTTAGACGTATTTTCCAGATGAGATCACTCAAAATTTAGGTTCTTGCTTGCTAAAGGCAATATTTACACGACATCACCACTGGATTATATTGACACACTCACATGTAACGTATAATTAAGCTGCATTATGTTTCGTATTTACCAGCCAGATTTCCCACAAATTGACTTTAAGATTGTCCAAAAACTTTTTCTAAATAAAATCATACAGTATAGTTAAGGTAAGGCGCCATGGTGTAGTTTAAGACATAGAGCGGTTACTTTTTTCAGACAGTGTAAACAGTAGAAATCAGTGCGTGTGAGTCAATGAGCTAAACATTTATGGCAAGTAGCAACAAGAATGTATTAACAAAGATCTGCACAGACTGAAGCAGATACTCTTTTATTTATATTAAGGAGTGGGAGTGGATAGTGTTCCTTCCTGGTTGTGTGTACCGTGCATGTGTGTGTGTGGTCTGTTCGCTTGAAGCACCGTAAAAATGATTTTAGTGTCTGTTTTATTACAGTAAATAAAGTGGCACTGATAGAGGACAGAGGTGGGGGTTAACCGTGCAACAGCATCTACTGGAGTTGCCTGGGATACTTTGTTTTGCTCAAGGACACCTCTGAAAGACAGCCTGCTCTGTTTTTGAGATAAAATGTGATTAAACAATACCCTACGATACCAAACCCGGACTCTGCACTTTACTCAGGATCCACTGGAGGGTGCTTTGGTTTGCCCCAACGCGTGAGTGTCCCACAGCTGGATCCCGAACTCTGTGTAAAAGTTCAAACTCGTGATCGCATGTTAACAGCAGGACAGCGTCAAACTCTTCCACAAAAACAGCAGTTGAAAATCAGTTTAGTCTGCATTCTTGTAACCCGGCAATGGAAGCTAAAGACATTAACTTGATCGAGCTGATTTTGCTGCCCGAAAGACACACACAGACTCAGTGTCCAAGAACAAAAGTTCTCTGTGATGGCCAGCAAGAGAGCTGCAATGTTCATCAACTTGTGGATTGTTCCACATCATTGGAAAACCAATGGCAAGACTTAGCCTGAGGACTGATGGTGTTTGAAACCGCACTGAATCAAGATTCCAAAAATAGGTTAATCCAGAGATGGGTTTAAAACTTTTCAGTGAGGGGACCATGCAGGCAGCATGTTAGTAAAGTGAGCAAACGTGTTAAGACTCACTTCTAAAGCCCTGTTTTTGGCACTAATTAACAACACACTACTAATAGTTACATTGTTTGTTCTGTGTGATAAAGGAACACCAATTAAATAACTTAATTTCTTTGTCTAATGTAAAAATATGATTGATGTGCTATTGTTTGGAAACACTAAATAGCCTACAGTCATGAATGGATTAAGAGAAAATGGGCTGTTGAACAAAGATGCAAAGCCCTGCCATCACAGCGATACATCCAGATCAGCATTATTCTCCTTTTAGTGGTCTTCGCATCTGTTTGTGGTAGTTTAGCTTCTCTTTGTGGTTGTTTTTCATATTTTTGGGGACATTTTGGTTGTTTTCATGTCCCATTGTCATCATCTTGTCGCTTTTCATCTCTGTGTGGTTGTCAGTTGTTCCTTTGTCGTCACTTTGCATCACTTTTGTGGCAGTCATCCCTTTTTGCATTTATATTTATGGTAGTTTTTAATCTTTTTGGTAGCTTTGCTTCTATTTGTGGTTGTTATTTGTATCTTTGGGGACATTTTGGTTCTTGCTTGTCCCTTTGTGGTCATCTTTTCATGGAATCTCTTTGCTTTGTGATTGTTGATTGTCCCTTTATAGTCATTGTACCTCTCTTTTATAGCAGTCATCACTTAATTGCATTTATTTTTGTGATAATTTTTCATCTTTTTGTTGGGGATTCTGGATGTCTTTGCAGTCATGTCATACAGAGGTTTTGGTACAAGAATCCCTGAACTGATTGCTAGTATCATCATAGATGCTAACAAGGAAGCTATCACTCTGACTCTGACCGAGGGGCACCGAGAAAGGCCAGTCAGACTTCAGAGAGCCACTGGATTAATCAATCAATTTATAAACAGTCAGTTGTTTCGATTATGTAATCACTGCTGAGTGTTCTCTGCTTTCTATTCCCTGCTTCTCCCTCTTTCTTCTATGACAGTTCGCCTGGGGTGTCAGCTTGGATCGGTGCCTCCACATCGCCCACTCCTCCATGTATGTAGCTGCATGCAGGGACAGGGATAAAAGAAAAGCAATGCAGTGAAGAAGACTGAAACAGAGTTGTTGTTTTTTTTTTGTTGTTTTTTTTTCTTGTATCTGTTTCATGTCTGCTGCTCGCCCACCTTCTCACTGGCAGGAAGGGAAGTCTCCTACGCTTTAGTGTTGTGGGACCGAAGATGGTGAAATCACACTTGGTGTCTTGGCAGCTTCCGAGGCCCTCTGGAGGCACTCTGCTGGAACTGAGGCAAAGATGAACATTTCAGCGAGAGCGTGAAAAATGAGAAAACCGACCACAGACAATGCTGTTTTGGATTAGTTATGTAAGCAATCGAGATTTGATGCCACGTTCTTAGCGATCACTTATGCAATCGAAAATTAAATCATCAAGTCAACTTCACGCTGATCGCTACAGGGTTACTCGTACA